TTCTAATAAAGTATGTTAACTATTTTCCTTAATGCTTTCTCACCTTGTCTGTAAAACCAGAAATACATTTGTACCGCTAGCCTCATCAAACTTATCCCCAATTTAGGCAAGCATGATGGGCTAGCTGAAATATTTTGAAATTTAAAGAGAAGCTTTATGTCAAGTGTTTTGAAGTGTAAAATCGGGTAAAAAATATTCGTGGTCACATGAATTTTCAAAGAATTTCAATTTGATCACCAAACTACTTTTCTACAATTCTAGTCATTCAAGTTTCCAAAAATTTTAACGATAGAGACTATTTAAAATCCCTATATAGGGACGGCCGAAGAGTTATTGTTCCCAACTGTGCGCTATATTAGGTTTGACTTAAATCCCTTTTTAATAGAGAAATGCTATTTATCCCCAATGGGAATGCATCCTCAGTTTATGTGGCGTCAATGTGACATTAAGTGATAGATGAAATTAAATAAGTCATTTAATTTCACCTATCATTTAACCAATCATTTACATCCACATAGACTGGGGATGCATCCTCACTGAAGATGAATAGCATTTTTCTATTTGATATTAAACAGAATTATGGTCTAAATGTGTATGAGATTCAAATTCAAAGTTATTCAATAATTACTCTATGTAGCAACGAATTGAACACAACGAAGGAAAAAAAAAAAATTTAACAGACTCGAAATTTATTGCAAAATTTAACACAAATGGTCCCTAAAATTTATTTCTTGACATGGACGTCCCTAATCTATGTGCTTTGGTGCGAACTTGATCATTTTTTTTTTATAAAAGGCCAATAAGCCCTTAATTTTAATTGGGACAGTTGCATCTAGATTCCTAACCTTTGAGAAGAAGTACAAATGGATCCAAACTTCGTTGCCCTTAATATTATTAAGCTCTCGTTTGAGCCCTTTTTTTTTTCCCCCCCAATTTTTACCTCATTAGAATGTGTAGGGTAATAATAGCTAGGTATTTTGGTAAATAGTGGATGACAAATTGGGTAGTTTAGTCCAACATATTTTTAACGGCTGCTTTACCCATAAATGCTCTAGCAAAAATCATGTAATTTCAAACGTGGGGCCCGCGAAAAGAGAAAATGAGAATGAAAAATCGGGAATGAATGGGGGCCAAACGAGAGCTTAATAATATTAACTTAGAGTACTAAATATATCATTATAATCGTGTTAATTTCATTTTCCAGAAGAGGAAAAAAGTTAAATTATCGTCCTTCAAGTGTACGTAATTGCTTTTCTGATGTGAGAAACTTGAATAAAAATTCAGATAAATAAATAAAAAATGTATAATTATAAGACGTTTAACCAATTTTATTTGTATTTATATTTAATATGAAAATACTGATAAAAAAATTAATTTATGAATTACGTATTCTTTATTTTCCTTATCGAATGATAATTAAACAAAAAATTAAAATATAAAAAATAAACAAAAAGGTGGCAAAACATTCTCCATTATTTGCTCTTTAATTATAATGATAATATGTTTTGATCAAAAACATCCTTGATATATCATGTAGATCAGGATTCATAGAGTCAACATTTATTGAATCTAGATTAATGTGAATGTTATTTACTTGATAATTAATAAGACGAAATTCATACATGACAAGAATTTTATATTATTTATTACATATTAAAAAAATGAAAAATATGGTATTATTGAAATAATTGAATTGTAGTAAAGTTAAAATCACCCAAAAATGATTTTCATATGATGTGATATTTAATATATTATAGATGTCAAATAAAAACACAATAAGATTGTTTAAATATCACAAAACAATAAAAGTCATTTTGCTATTTATTTATCTTAATTTTTATTCATACTTTCACATTACAAAACAATTACATTCACTCAAGACATGATAATTTAACTTTTTTTTTTCCTTCTGAAAAAAATTGTTGACATGACCATAATGATATTATTAATATGCTGCATTAGATATTATTTAGTCCCTATTTAGTGGATATTAAAATCAAATTTTTAATAATTTTTAATGAAAAATGATGAAATATGTGATTAAAAGTTGTTGATCCTATGAGATATATCGCTCAACTGATTGCTGATTTTAACTTAAATTAAAATTTGAATTTTAATCATTACCAAAAGGGGCATTAATAAAGGTTCAAGATCCATCTTTACTTTTTTCCAAAGGTTAAGGACCAGCCGCGTTTTTCTTAACTAAAAATTAATGGCATTTTGCTCATTTTCCAAAGGTTAGGGACCATATGAACCAAATTCCTAATTTATCGAGGGAAAGAATATCCCCTTTGCCTTATTTCTATGCATTTCAAGAAAGATATCAGTTCAAAAACTGAAATAAAATGCATGTTAGAGATAAACAACTGAACTTGTTATAATTTGTCAAACTTCGGCAACTTTATTGAATGTATCTTATGATTGGGCATCAACAATAATAGTACAACTTAGTCATACTTCTCGGCCTTGTATTTGATTTCTGGGTTGCGAATATCGTCTTGACTTTGAACCAATCGAATCTCCAAACTGCTCGATTGGCAATCGTGCCCAGCCTCTGTATAGTCATTTACTGTCCTCGCCAGAAGCGCCTGCAACAAATGAAAACATCTCAAGCCACCATTCGAAAAACCAAGGTCCTAGTAAAAAAATAAACCCATCACAGACTATTTTACACTTTTTGTTACAAACTCAACCATCTTTCATACTGCATAGTTATAAAACTTGGTGTCAGTAAATTGTAGCGACAATTTATAGAGAAGAATCCTAATTCCTAAATGACCATCACCTCATTTGCCATTTAAACACTGCTTAAAAAATGGAAGACAATCAAACAGTTCATTCAGATATTCTTTTTGAACATTGCAATATATTTGTATTAACCAGATGTTCAAATTTTGTGTACATGACCGTCCTTTCATATGTAGGTTCATCAGTAGATGTCATAGCTGATCCAGCAAGTGAATTTCAGAAGTCTCGGTCATAACATAATTTTATTTTGACTAGTGAAAGAAAATATAAAATCATTATACTTCATGTATCCAACTTCCCTCCTCTCTCTCTCTCTCTCTCTCTCTCTCTCCATGCACCGGAGTATATTTTTCCAGTATGGAATGAGTAGAGAATGAAGCTACAGGTCTCGATCTATAAAATGACACAGGTTCTCTTCGACCCGGTCATGTTTTAACAAGTTATTATCCAGATTTTCCCGGAAAATAATATCCCAGTTATTGAATAATGAATCTAAGCTCTGGATAAAGATATTTCGAAACCGCGTGAAAAAGTAATCAGCAAAAGGAATACCTGCAAACTTGATACAGACAGCTCTGCTGCTTTGTCTAGGTTTTCAGGATATTTCTGCATAACAAAGAGAAAGAAATCATTCAATAATACAAGAGAAGTTTGCCCAAGGACTCGATTTAATTTTGCTAAAAGCATTACATTGCTCCATCCGAGCAACAGTGCAGTTGTAAGATCTCCAGTTCCCTGCCAGCAAGCAAACTCATTTAGTTATATCAGCCATAGAGGATAAAAAGTAGTTGCATGTGGATGAATGGAATTGATTAATACAAAAAAGGGAATTCTAGAATAGAGGAAATTTTTCCAAAATAAAATTAAATTAAATGTTGACAAATATGTGCATTTACAAAACAAATCAGTCAATTTAAGTTAACCCAACCATACTCGTGAAATTGCACAATTCAAAGATGAGTCGAGGTAGGGGGGCTGAACGGAGGGAGTGAGTTTAAAAAGTAAAGTGCACATCTCCAAATCAGCCACATGTCAAGGAAGTGAAGCAGAAGGTTCACAAGTGAAATAAATGCATACCGTGAAATAGGCAGGAATTTTGGGAATCAAAATCTTGAACTGCAGAGGTTGACCCTATGACAATCAAATTTGTTCAAACAAAGTGGAAACATGTTACAATCAGAAACGAAACAGTATACAAAGAAGACTTAACAATATCATGCTTGAAATGAACACGAGAGTAAAATATTTATTTCATCATCTCCTTATTTTTGTTTCTCCTTTTTCAATAATGCATGTGTAATGCATAGTTAATATCTAAGACTCACTTGTTTTCATACCTTCACTTTCTGATGACTGCCAATCAGAAGAAGATTGCCATCAATGTTTATGCTCGTAATCACAACCTGAAATATGACCCTAAATCCTTTAAATCTTAGAAAGAAAGGGACTTGATCACAATAAGAGTAGAAAAAGGCAATTGAATGTCTGAACCAAACCAGTCAAAGTCCACTACAAAGACAGAACTCTTATTATACCAGAAACAATATCACAGTGGAGGGCAAATTATCATTGAACAATTCAAATAGAAGGAGTATTTTACTACTTTAGGGTGTCCTTCCATGTGATAAGTTGCTAGAAAACACAAAATGAAACAGTATGGTCCATCACATTATAAAAGAAATTTGCATAACTCAGCTTGCACCATCATAAAAAGAAGCACATCATAAACAACCTGATTTTGAATGTGATCTTTGTTACAAGTGAATCATGATTCATGACATTATTCTACGACTGAAATAAATTTTAGGAGGAGAAAGACTTCAAAAACAGATTGAAGAGGAAAACAAATATCAAGAAAAAAATTGCATCAAGTGAAAAGCTTGGGAACCAATTGAAACTAATTTTACTAAGATTTAAGCACGAGGACAAACCTTTGATGGTCCAGCAGCATGAAGAATGTTGCAAGCTTCCCGACCATCTTGTTCAGATGTGATCCTGAGACATGCAAAACCCATCATAGAAGCAACATGAGCTAAGGTCATGGCACAAATAAAAATTGCATAGCAAGACAAGCTGCATCATGATGTTGCCAAAATATACAGCCATGTAGTAAGACTTCGCCATCATGATACAAGTACATTTAGCATCTGAATTTGTATAAAATAGAAAAGAACGAACTACCCATCAAAGATACTGCAACTTGACATAGATGGACCACACAGAAGCAAGGGTGTGGGTCCCAGTCCAACAGAAGTTTAGATATATAAACTTAAAATTATCAATGATTAGATCTGCTCGACTCTCATGATCCTAACTACACTGCAGGCATCTGTTCTTAGCATGCTGCTTTTGCTGTTCTGTTTGACTTTGACATTAGCAACCAACTTTAACAGGCAGTAAATTTTTTAACAAGATCGAGATAAGAATATCCTCATAGAAACACAAATGTACAAGTATACTCGATCAGCTTCATAACTTGTTAGGTACTATTTAGATGGAAATAGGAATGAATACCTTAACCCAGTTAACTGTTCAGCCTCAAACTGATTAGGAGTTAACATCGAAGCAACAGGGACAACCTATTGGAAGTAGCACTTTAAAGCATTAACCATCAGAAAATTTGATATATAAAAACTCAATACAACTAAGACTTATCCCGTTACTATTTAGAGTCAGCTATATTGATAGAACCATCTCCAAAGTAAAACTATAAACGGCAGCAATGTTCTTTTCTTTTCCCCTTTCTATTTAACAAATAATTAAGATTTTGTCAAATATATATTTCACATTTCCAAGAAATAATACAAAAATTACTAGACATAAGTTTACTTCCTAAAAACTTGCGATGGAGAATAGTTGTTAATATCCTATAAGAACACAAATTATGTATACTTTGAACTTGAATAGTGCATTTCCATATGTTGACAAAATGGTCAAAACATAAAACAGGGAATAAACATCATATGATTTCAATGCTTTTAAAAATGATTGGAACTAATCACACCTAGGAATTTGAGCTGTCACATTACTCTATTGCCATTAAGCCATTTGAAGAAAGAGTGGTGGAGAAAAAAAGGTCCAGCAGTACATCGCCCTCTAAATGCAAGCTAATGCATTAATTAAAATCCACTTCCAGCAGTACATCGCCCTCTAAATGCAAGCCAATGCACTGATTAAAATCCACTTCCAAATAAAAGAGTAAGAAATACCTTCTCACGAAATACTGAAACCATTTCTTGAGGTACATAAAGCTTTCCTTCATCGCCCAACACTGGATCACAGACTGAATATACAGCATGTAGTGTTAGAAGACAAAATTTACATCAAGATCCACAATGTGCAATATAAATACTTTTTGACCTCTGTTACTAATATAAATGGTTAAAGGATCCAATTGTTTATGCATGATCAGGATCAAAGACCAGTGCCCCCAACCAAACCGAGAAACAAGAAAACAAAAGACAAAGAAAGAGTATTTACTCACATGCAGCTTATATTTACTTCTATAAAATGTAGCAATATAAGAACTTAGGAATACGCAAATCCTGAATGCCATGTTATTATGAAAGATAAAATTTTATCAGCAGGTACTGGTGTGCTTACCATATGTAAGTTTGGGGTTGATAGACCTAAGCTTGTCGACGACTTTTAGTACAGTGTTCAAGAAGGAGACAGAACCAATATAACCTACAATAGGCCATTAAGAATTAGAAAGCACAAGATGAAGAGTAAGCCAACAAAGATTTATTGATAAACATATGTATGTAGAAATGTTTGAAAAAATTATCAAAATAAGATTACATTTTAAGAAATGGGAACAAACACATCTCAAAATTATAAAAAAGAGCATAAACTGAACATCAGGAAAAGAAAACAAAGGTATTGACCATCACTTTTCTGTCAAATATACAAGGCTGAGGACCCAAATTTACAGAAAAAATATTTGACAGCAATGAAATTGAAGTTGTTCCAACTATATGTACAATCGTGGTTTAGAGTGCTTTCGAGATACCTGTCAGAAGATGAGTATAGAATAACAGATCATTGGCCTCAAGACCCTCTATTAAATCCCAAAGTTGGTCTCCGTTCAAAACCTGGCCCTTACAAGATGGGTATCCTGCACAAATCTCAGTTGGAATAAACGACAAAATTATCTGTGTTTATCTAGTGTAACATGCCAAAACATGTACAGATTCACAGATGACCTCGCACCGTGTTTCAGGCGTCAGACTGTTTGAATGAAGTGGTATAAGCAGCTTGCCTGTGTGGTTCGAGAACTGTACAGAATTGATGGGGTCCACGTCATAGCCAAGTAATTGTAGAGGAAAAACAGCTGATTTGTTGCCAACATATCCCTAATGAGAAAAAGAATCGGAAGTGATCTCAACATAAAGCTTACAATTTATAAATAGCATTTGTGAGGTATATCAACAAAGCCCTAGAGAATCATTACACAGAAACAAAAAGGAAAAATAAATAAATCTAAGAAGGCAATACAAGAATCAAAATAAGTTAGCATAATAACTAATAAGAATATCATGATTTATCTTTTTTCTGTATATAAATGGAATTATTGATCAATTTGATATTCCATACAGTAAAAAAGTTCTTAGTTGATTGTTTACTCGCCCATAGTAAAATGCGGCAAAAGAAGACAGGTTTGCAAGTAATGAGATTTACGTGCGTTTATTTAAAGAAATGAGTATTAATTCTTCCTAAAACGAAGACATCCTTAAAAATAGCAAATCTCAGAATTGCACCATAATGGCACACAAATATGTCATAAGCATTATAATCATACGACTGAAATAAAGACAAAACTGTCCAAGATATAGGCATGATCAATATCTTTCAACACCACTCCTTCCTCGCCCAAACACAACATATTTTCAAAAATCCTGCTACTCCAGACCATCTATGCATCCACACCAACATAGTACATATACTTAACCGATAAATACACTTAAAAAACCAATTATTTCACTTATTCAAGAACCATTTCGTAATAACAGAATAACAATAACACATAATCAATACAGACAATATTCAAAAAGGGATTACAAAATTTTCTTTGAATTAATAAACAAGAAGCACCTGAACAGTGTGAGATTGAATACTGAGAACCCGACCCGTCTCTGATGGCAGTTCTAAAGCAAGAATTGGCGGAGGCGCCATTGCCACTTCTTTGAACTCCTACTCAATCTAAAAAAAATTCCATTTCAAAAACCCATTACATAAATACAATGGATACATTACTTGTACAATACGAAGAATTTTGACCTGAAAATGCAAAAGCTCCGAGTGGTTTTAGCCTCAAACAAATCAATGAATGCGGATTTTAGCATAAATAATTCGAGCAATCTACTTATGTATGCAGTACGGGCAGTATTCCACCATTTTTCCTCTTCAACGAGTTGGAATGGGCAGATGGGCAAATTGGGAATTTCAAGCTGATCGTTCTTCAAGCGAATCTGATTTTTATATAGATTTTTACGTCAGTGCTTACGGATTCTAAGAATATTTTTAAGTAGCTGTTGCTTGTTTGACCCAATTTTTTAAAATTAGTATTTTTTTCCATTTTCAAAAAAAATATCTTTTAATCATATATTTTATAGAATTCATAATTTTTATCAATTTATCAATTTTACATTTCATCAACTCAAAATATATTAAAAATCAATTTTCTTGCCAAATCAAATTAATTGACTTTTAAAATTTAAAATATTAAATTAAAACTTAAAATATTATGGTTCTCAATTTTACATTTCTCCCATTCTCCCTCTCCACCTCATCGACATTCAAACATTGCCCATGAAAAAACAAAGAAAAAAAAGACTTTTCTACCCACCACCACCAATTAGTCCCGAATCCCCCATTAATCCTGCCTATACAAAGTCAAGAATTTTTCTCAATCCACCAGTAAACACCAATTTCTAATTCTACCAAATCAGATACCAACCCCACCCAC